CATCAAGTGTAAGGACCAAGATCAAGATAATTCAGACCACTGTATTCCCAATCACACCCAGTATGTATGTGAAAGCTGGACAGTGAAGAAAGCTGAAAGGAAGAAAACGGATGCATCGGAAACACTGTGCTGGAGGAAAGCTTTGCGAATAGCCTGGGATAATAGGAAAATAAGCAAGTGGGTCCTAGACCTACTCAAGTTGAAGGCAGAAGACAAAAGGGAAGACCAGCATTGAGATGGATTGAATCTGCATGGCAATAAGAGTACAATGTCTTATTTTTATGATCACGAGCATTGCTAATATGTTTCTTTGTTTTTGTGCATATGGCTTGGGGTTTGTATATGTGAGCCAGTGGATGTCCCTGTGAGTGTACATGGGTGAAGGGGGAGTCCACAGTGCTGCAATGGGTTGCTGCTAATTTCCTAAGAGAGGTCATCATGATCACATGCCAAGGAAAGCCCAGGTTTCCCCCTGATCAACCCATGCTTGAGCTGCATGTGTCGTGCTGCTTCTGAATAAGACTGCATCGGAATAGGATACATTACGATGGGTATACGTAGACATTAATTTTTGGATGCTTTCAATATTTGCTCCTGTGTCTCCAAACACTGCTTTTCTGTGTGGCTCTCAAAACATCATGTCTTATTTTAACTATTACCAGTATCAATGCTGTTATGGACATGTGAATTAACCTGTCCTAGTAATTATCTTAGAACCCCTCAATTCTCTGTGGAATGGGAGTTGTTGCTGGAACAGGAGAATGTGGGTCCAAAGGAGGACTTCCGTGAAACAGTTTTGTGCCTCAGTTTTCTCTTTCTGTGATATGGGTTGCTGACTGTTGGGGAGTCAAACACTGCTCTACATCTCGTGACCCCTTGCAGCCATGTCTCATGAGCCCTCAACTCTACACCCACTGCCCTCAGATTGCCACAGGGCTCCCTAGGGTATACCTACATCACTGGTCTGGCTGATGCAACCATCATGGATCATGGCAACATGCTAGTTACTTTGAGTACGTAGTCATAATCCTTGGCAATGAACTCCGAAAAATCTGAGTTCGTTCTGCCAATTATATTGAAGTGAGGGCAAAATTCTGAAGGACATCCAAAATGGTGGAAACTCACCAGTATTTTTGTGGCTGGTAGATATTAACACAGAAAAGAGAGATTGGTTTTGGTTCAGTTTTTGCTCATGTAATTATGTTTGTGGCTTTGAGATATGAAAATAAAGTACCATCAAAGAAAATTGGGAATTCGTAAAAAGTTCCCTAATGATTAAGGAGATACACAGAATTCCTCTGAATAAATTTAAAATACAACCTGGCACTAACTTTGTAGCATAATATGCTTTGTTGTAATATATTTTGAAAACAGATTCTTTTTTCACTTACAGCTTCCTGCACACCATGCTGAAAAAAATTGCTAGTGTTAGTAATTAAAAAATAATGTCTCCAAGTATATTTTTAATTTTGCAGACTTAACTATCATGTTCATTGTAATTTTGTAGACTTGTTTGGCAACAATTATATTAGCTCCCAACAAGCATATGAAGAAGCTGTTTAAATAGGATATATCTTGCAGAATGGTTTTAGATTTTCAGCAGTTAATTATGGTGCATTAGTTGACCATAAAAAGCGCTGGTAGGGAATATTTGTTTGTGGCAGCAGTTTAGTTTCCCATCGGGTATTTGAAGCTCCATTTCCAAATGTAGAATTATTAATGGTTCTAGACACTGGATTCTAGCAGAAATTACTTGTGGATATTAGCAGTATGCTGCTTTTTCTTTATATATTTGGAAGCTTGGCTGAGATTAAAACTGCTGATACGTCTACAGAGCTGTGTTGCTGGGTAACATGAGCTACACTAATGCCCTATTTTTGGGTTTTCCACAGAAGATGGTTGGATACTGTGTGACAAGAGTTTTGGGCTAATGGACAGCACAGTTTTTACACTGTCATAGTCTTACGTTTGTATATAGGCTGCAGGGACAAAAGTACAGCTTTGTAAGGTAGGCTGAAAACTAGGTAGGAACCCAGGTGTGACTTCCTAGTTTTGTACTACAGAACCCAGGTGCGGCCTCCTAGTTTTGCAGAATTTTCCAATTCTGGGTAAATTGAAAAAAATGAGGCTACCAGCATATATTTGGACACTTGCTCGTGTGTGCATGCACACGCACACGCACGTGTGTCAAACCACTGATAAATCTTCCAGTATGCTCAAAAGGAGGTGTTGTTGGCTGTCAAAATTGCAAAGCAATCTTTAAGGAAAAAGGTGCAGGTAGGGTGAAGCTGTGGTGAGCCGAAGTGGCTTGCAGAAATTGTAGGAAAAGGAAGAAACTAAATATGAACATAAATCTTGATTCGGTTTTTGTTATGTTGTGAGGTGTTTTAAGCAAAATGTTCAGAAAATGGGCTGGTCATTTGAATATTGTAGAATAGACTTCATTCTAGGTTAAGTACATTCACTCAAAATACATCTATGCAAGCATGGATTAATTGTGAGGCTTATTTGCATAGCACTCTGCATTACGATTTATTTTGTACACTTTTAAGTACTGCAAATAAAGGAGAACTAACTGGATTGAGAGATCTTCTGCCACCTTGGTTCTTTTCAGAGTGGAAGAGATCAGCTCATAGTAGAGCACAGCAGTGGGTTATTGAAGAACACAGCAGTGGCTAAAATATTTTAAATTAATGTGGAATAACTCTGCACAGCAAGCAGATTAACTCTTCCCCTCATTTCATGCATTATTCTCTTTCTCGTTCCTTAAGATCTGCACTTTTATCATCGCCACTTCCAAGGATTACTTCCATTCTATTCTTACTGTGCATATTTTAAAAATTCAAAGCATAAACCTACGGTTGGCTTTGCCATATCTTGCTAGAATATATTTATTGAGATACATGTTTGGACTTGAAGCAATGGTCTGTCCTGCAGCTCCCTCTTTTGGTGATAAGGTAGAGTGGGCCACGTTTCCTCCTTCCCCAGTAGTTTGAACGTTTTGGCAGTCAGAGTATATTTTAGATAAACACAACAACAACAAAGAAGTTTCAATTCCTAATTTGCTCTACCTTCCCCTTTTGTTTGCATATTTATTTACTAAATGTTGATTCAACTCTTACAACAACAGCTCCGTTTCCATTTTCTCTGACTACTGCTTATTCTCCACAACTGTCACAAAAATGCTGAAAGAAAACAAGTGATAACACAAATACGGCAAGCATGTAACATACGCAGAGGAAAAGCCAGGAAGCAGGGAGATGGGAATCCAACTCCCTCTACAGGTGTAGCCATCTAGTTTTAAAGATCACTTTTGCCAATTTGAAACAATGGGAAGCCACATGTAAATTGCACACTCCAGTACTTGCAAAGATTCTCATATGTTGTTGCAACGAACCCTGTATTCATCCTGAAAGGTGGGCTGTTATCCCTATCTTACAGACAGAGGTCTGAGGCTAAGAGATAGTTACATATCTAAGTTTGTTCCTTGATTCCATTGCTGTAGATGAACAAGGTACTTACATCGCACACTTGTGAATCAGATAGATTTCATATTGTAATGCTACAGATAATTTCCCTTTGCTTCCTTTTTTGGCTTTGCCACAGTGTCAAGAGCTCCACCCACTGATGTGATCATCCTAGGATATTCCACAGTTGTTGATGTGAAGGAAACTTTTGTTCAGGTCTAGGAATCAGATTTCTGACTCACAGTTGTGGGTTTACAGAGGACCAAGGTTTAATTTTCTGTTGTAGCCCTTGTTTGGCAATGTTCCTGCCTTCTAATATTCAGCATTCAGGCATGTCACGATTTTCCAGCCTAGATAGTAACTATAATTCTGTTCAGGATCCAAAGAATGGTGGAACATGTTTCATGTGCCTAAGGGCTTCCAGAACTTATGTTTTTCAAACAGGCAGCCTACTGTGCCAGATGGCAAATTGCTTTGCAAACTGAGAAGCATTTCGAGAGCAGTTTGTGATATATCACAAACAAGACGGTCTGCTGTTCACAAGCCTTTAAAAAACAAATTCAGAAATATTATTGGTTGCTCTTTGGATCTTGACCTGCATATGTTGTGGTATAGTCGATTGTGTTGCTTAGCTGGATAATTCAGTTTAAAGAATTATGATAAAAAGAAATATTTCCTTAATACGGCACTGAAGAACAGCAGTGTGTCATGCATATATCAAAGTTTATGATACACTTTGTTGGGATTCCATGTTTCCGTTGGGAGAGAATGAGTTTACTTTTACTTAAAATGTTTTGAGGTTGCCATTAAGATTGAATCACTGCCAAGGGGGTATGCAAAACATAAGCAGTGCAAAAGATAGACAACAAAAACAAATAACTAAATATTCAGAAAAATTCCATAAAAATAGACAACACCAAGAAAACCTGCAGCCTTCCAACTACGGAAACAGGTGGGCATCAGAGCCTTCCTAAAGTCCTTCAAAGAAGGGACTTTAGGAAAAGAAGAACCCCTCCTACCTCTCAAATTTATAGCTTTTTTGATGATAAAATAGTTGTATTTTAATGTCACATTACTTATAAAGAGTAATTGATTCCCAACAGTGCCATCCCATACTTAGCTTCAGAATAAGTCCAACTGAATTCAGTGAGGCTTATTCCTGGGTAAGTGGGTATAGTATTGGAGTGTAACTGTTTTTTTAGCCACTTTAAAATAATTTGAATAAGTCTATTAATAAAGTAATTGAGCAGAATTGATTCATGCTTAGAGAAAATGTATAAAATGGCCTAGAAAAGCCTTCTATGAATATGATTATCTGAAATTGTGAGCAGTGGAATGGTAAGATTTCAATCTACGCTTGTTTGTACCAGTTCCATTTAAAATCAGTGTGACTCAGAGTCTAAAAGCTCATTGAACAGAAATGTTAAGTATCTCCTATTTATTTGTTAGGTCCTGGCTTCCATGGTTTAATGGGATTCAAATAATGTGCATTTTTTCTTGTAACCCAACAAATGTTTTCTACTCCTTCTGCAGGTTATAGAAACATTATCCAAGCTTTCCCGCACTCCTATTGCATTAGCTGCTGGAAAAAGGTACGGTGTAATTGTGGATTCTGTAAATTTTGATTTTTGGTCATAACACAAGCAAATTTTGTGAAAGGCATTGGTCAGTTGAAATGTTTCTATAATTTCTTACACCTTTTAAAGACAAAAGTGTAATTTAAAATTGAGAATTGATCTGACATGCTAAAATAATCTGTTACATTACTATAAAGATACTTAACCTTGTGTATGCTGTGGAGAGAGAAACAAAATGCAAAGAAAGATATGCTGAATTGCACCAGCAGAATTCAAAATAATATAAAATACGGTTTTAGGATTGGTGTACCCCAGTGAGCCAACGGACTTTACTGGTTTTGTGCTGGTGCATGTGATGTGGGCTTGTGCAAATTTACTGAAATGTGTTAGACATTGTCAGTGGAACTGAACAAATAGCATTTGTATGAGTCTCAGCAGTATTGAGGTGAGGACTCACCATGCAAATTTCACTGATGACTATGGCAGCCAAGCCAAGATAAGACAAGACAGGATGAGCACTACACCTATTTCTGCAGCTTTCCCTCTGCTTCCCCTTTACTTCTGGTCCCATGTTTTAAAACCATGGTTTGAAATTGTTGACTTGTTCCAGAACTAATAATCATAGTTTCCTGAGAATTATGGAAGAGAACTGGGGAGGAGAGGGATTAGTGCCAGGATGAAGTGTCTGTGCAAAAGACAAAAGTCTGTTTAAAGTTGTGATTAGCTGAACCGGGCTTGTGTGGGAATATGGTCCACCTAGCCAGCAACTTTGAGTTTCCTTCTATTGAGTCACCTTCAGCAATTTGGTCTTCACATTCTCTCAGTCCTTCTGCAGGTGTAACAAAGAGGTCTTTTTCAATGGTGGTTCAACATAGACTTCAGAATCATTTCCTATCCTTTCTTCATTAATGGAGATGTTTAGGGCTAGGGGCCCCTTTTAAGCAGCCGTAGTGACTGGTTTTAAAACCAAGAAATGAGAAATTTTGATAGTCGTTCTAGATTTAATTATTTCCTATCTGTGATCTATGAAGGGTGAAGGAAACGCCAAACCATAGAGGGAGAATATTTTTTGTAGGCTGAGATTTCATACTTACACCTTTCATTTTTTTTAAAGGTAGGAAAACCAAAAATGGAATTTTAGAATTGCTAACCAAAATTCCACTTGAAAATCTATCATTCACTTTAAACTTTTGAATCACTAATTCTGAATTCCATTGGGACCATAGAATTCCATTGGGACCATAGAATATTAAACTATGATTTAATATTCCATAGTTTGCATGCATGGAAGCTCTCACTCAAAACCCTGGGAAATTTGCTGTGTGCTTTACACATTACTGTGTATCCTTAGGCCATATTACTGTATTCTGTTTTCCATTTTTTTAGCTCTTACACCACTGTCGAAGTGACATTTCTGGTCATGTGAATGTGGTATAAAGATTGCACATAACAGAGGTACATATATCTGCCTGTTTTAAATGTTCTGCTAAATTCATCCATGGTAGGTTGACAGTCACAAACTGTATTCAGTACACACAGGTTTTACCCATATAAGCTTAGGCTTTTTACCTTGTGCATTTAGGGAACACTGAACATTCTTCACTCTTATGTTAGGGCATATTTTCACTTTTTAATATGTTTTGTCTCCATAGGCCATTTCCTACAGAAGAGAGTGTGGATGATGAAGACATTTACAAAGGCCTTCCAGATTTAATAGAGTAGGTTATAAATCTGTGTAGTATAAAAGCTCTCTCCACTGTATCTATTATGCAAATGAGATAATGGAATTTTTAACTTCATATGAAATCACATTTTGAAACAGTTTAACCTAATGAATGTTCTACAGGGTTTTATTTGTGTTTGTGATCCTGGTTATTATATTTTGTGGGGTATTTTACAGAACAGATACGGACATCCAAAATGGTTCCAAATTGAGAGTTTTCTGTTACCGTGAGAACAGGGACAGCTGTCAGTTTGGCTGAGGCTAAAGTCTTTCACAAACCTTAGATGAAGAGTTAAATTTTAAGCAGAGGTATATATTTTAATATAGGTATGTTCTGCCTTTTTTCCAGCAATGAACCCAAGGAAGCTTACATAAATCTCCTCTCCATTCTAGGCTGAGAATCAGTAAATGGCCCAATTTGTCCTAGTGAGTGGGAAGTAGAACCTTGATCTTCTTCATCCTGGCCTAACCATGATGCTGCACTGGCTTTAAGCAGAGATCTGAAGATGTAGGGAAATGAAGAAATGGGAGCCCTTAGAACAGGATGAAGGAAGGAAGGGTACCATTTGCTAACAGCCCCTAAAGAGATTTCAGATTATTCTTCAAATTATTCCGATTTAACCTGATATTGACTAACATGTAGGGGCTTTGAGGTTCATTCTTTTGTCATGAATTCCATTGCCTCTCCATAGCATATTTTGAGAAAACCTAAACATTGAATGCTTTGAGAAACACTTGATCTACGATAAAACCTCCCACCACTTAACTAGTTCCTTTCAAGCCCCCTTTGGAGGTTTTATTTCCCTTAAACTAGTGTGATAGTGTTCGATATAGCAATGATGTGATGGAAACAGCCATGCTCTTAATGCAGGGCCAAGTAACTCAAGTACTTGGTGAGGAAGATGTGAATGATCTAAGTCACAGAAAATGCAGATGTTGAGGAATGTATAGAAAGGGTATGTGTTCTTCTTGCCCTTTTTGCATTATCTAAAGTTTCCCAATTTTATTAGGCTCACTAAGGAGCGCTTCCTTCATATTTTTACTCATTTGAATGTATGTTTGGTGTTTGGATATTCAGCTTGCACCAACTGGGAAAACCCAAGATGTATGTATTCCAGCTTTACCACTTCTCAAATTGTGTGCCTTTATGGAATTATTTCTACTCATTTGTGAATATTTAAGGTGACAATTTAGGCCAAACACATCCAAGAACTGTCATTCTCCTTCTATTTTGCTTTAAATGGATTTGATGTTTTGATAAAGTCTCAGGAAAATTTATTAAATAAATAGATGACTCCCTGTTAAGTGAGGATGAAGTTTGTTCGTTTAAAGCTTTTATCTCCTGTCCAGAGTCTTGGGAAATTATATGGCAGTTCCTTTTTAGCTGGTATAGGACTGGTTAGGACACATTACTAGACCATAATTTGGTATTATAAAAAGGGACCTAGCCTACGCCCTTCTCTTCTGGTGTGGCCATGAGACCTTCATACCCATTTAAACTTGACTGGAGCTTGTGGTTGTTGCCTGGGTTTGGGCAAGTTTGGGTTAGTATTATGGCAACTGTGGGTCTGGCTTGTCCTCTTTAACCTTATTTAACGTTAGGTAGAACGGAGGGTTTGGATGACACACTATAGTGTGGTTTAATTTAAAAAAGAAACTTTTTTTTAAAGAAAGGAAAAGCGTGTGAGCTTGGAAGAGCCTATTGATTCCTATGTAAAAAATCTGATGTCCTATAAATTGTACTTACATGCTCTTACCTTTGTTGTTGTTTCCTTTTTTTACTTTCTGTTTTAGTGAAACTCATGTTGATGAGGATGAAGACCTTTATGATTGTGTCTACGGGGAAGATGAAGGTGGTGAAGTCTATGAAGATCTCATGAAAGCAGAAGTTGCACATCAGCCTGTATGATTCACTGTTGTGACAGACTTCTAAAAATAGTGCTTGCAGAACATTTTAGGGCACAATCCACACAATCTTGCAATTAAATTCCACTGATTTTAAGTGTTAAGTGTATGTCAAACTCTGTCCCACTGAAGTCAGTGCCACTTAAAGCAGCTTACTTGGCCTGCAACAGTTTTTGATGATCTGTTTTAGCCAACAATAAGGTAAATAAAAGCTAGATTAATAAAACCAATAGTGCAATTATCATCATCTTTATTACCACCCAGTGTAATGTGGTGGTTAGTGTTGGACTAGGGACCTGGGAGATCCAGGTTCTAGTCCCACTCAGCCATGGAGCCAACTGGGTGACTTTGGGGCAGTCCTAGAATCTCAGCCTAACCTACCTCTCAGGGATGTTGTTGTGAGGATAAAATAAACCATGTACACCACCCTGTGTTCTTAACGAGAAGAAAAAGGTAGTAAATGCAAAGTCATAATTGCCATTATCTGAACATTCTTTTAATAACTAGCTCTGGTTCAAGCCATTCACCTCTTCCTGATAGGACTGCACACTTGCCTATTCTGTGAATTCTTTTTAGTTCATTTTCTCCTAATGAAAACATGTCACTGTACTGATGAGCAGCAGAGTGGTGAATGAAATAAATGGAAATTATGAGATGTTAAGAGGTGTAGGAAAAAATGCATGTGCCTGGCACCAAAATGACTACCATATCGGTATCATATGAGGCACTCTGGCATGATATTCCTCAATTAGGGGGCCACTACTAATGAGGCCCTTTCACCCATAGCCACATGCTGCACTTTCCCTCCTAGGAGCACAAGGTTCAGGTAGTTTTTTAGCTTCCTGCCTGTGACTAGTGTGCTAGATAGATTCTTGCAAAATTTGACAGGTGGGAGGAATTCCAGTGGCCCTCTTCACCCAAACACGGCAGCGCCTTCTCGCTTTCCTAGTTACAAAAATCATGGGAGAAGGGGACTGCATGGTAGGACAGTCAAATGGCAAGCAAACAATGGCTGTATGTGTTGTCCCATTTATCTAGCTTTAACTGCCCTGCTAGAAGACTACAGCATCATAGTACAAGTGAGGCTCTGCTTCCTAAGCCGTAAACATGAATAATTCTTGCAAATTATTTCCAAAGCAAGGCATTATTCCTATGCATTTTGATCATTTCCAAAGCAAGGCATTATCGTAGGAAAGTATTCCAAATGCACAGGGGCTATGTCTGCAACTAACATCTTGTTGACTTGGCAGAAATGTCCTGAAAATGACATAAGAAGCTGCTGCCTTTCTGAAATAAAACAGACTGAAGAGAAATACACAGAAACATTGGAGTCTATTGAAAAGGTAAAGTGCTTTGACACAGCGATCAGGAGAGCTGTTCCCACTGGTTGGTAGGGGGCTGGGAAGTGGAAAGTGATGTCAGAAAGAGAAACTATGTTCTTGGATGTATTGAAGATGACATGATAAAATAGCTCATGCAGTGAAGAACATTTCTTGCATGGTTGCACTTGTTTTTTTTTGTATAATAAATATAGCAATATTATTAACACAAGGCAAACACTGTCCCACTTTTAATCTTACTGTGATTTCCAAACTCTGTGCCTTGCAAAACAAATAAATATGGTCCTTTGGGATATAAAGAGCCCACCTGTTCAAAGGGCTCCCACTGGGTCTCAGCTGTGAGAGACTTCACATTTTTACTTGGCTTCTAGTGTACGAGCTAGCTAAGGAGCAACAGGTTAAAAGTACTTTAATGAAAATGTCCAGTCTGAAATTCAAAGGGTGGTGGTGGTGGGCAGATGGATATAAACAACACAATTAAGGAGAAAGAGACGGAGAAGGAGGAAGTGCTAATACAGTGGGGTAATCAGCCCCAACCCCTGGATTAAATGTTACCTGTCTCTTCCTGAGATTGCTACATACCAGTGAATTTGTGGAAGAGTAATCTTTTTCATCAGCATTGGTGAATTTCTTCCGTTACTCTCTCTCGGGGTTGTATAATCCAGCCATTCTGGTTGCAGAGACATATCTGAATTACTTGTGCATAGATGAGGAAGTCTATTTCCTCTCTCTGTGTCACTCCTCTTTACCCGCCTTCTCCAAATGAGAAAGCGCATAGAGACCCGTGACTTATGTAGAAATGTTAAAGGTCACCTTTGTTGCAGGTGTGCAATTTTACATACTCTAAACCTAACCTCCTTTATCCGGGGGGGGGGGGGGATAAGAATGAAGTGTACCTCCAGATTGAATTCAGAGGAGAATGTTCCTAAAATAGTAGACGTTTGAGAAAGTCCGCTGTTCAGGAAAGGGTTAAACAAAATACATGAGAAGAGGGACTTGCTGTAGCTCCAGCCCCAACTTCATTCCATCTGTTGCCCTTTCCTCATGGAGGGCAACTCTAGGAGAGGATAGCCTGCATTAAATATGGACATATCTCCATGTGACTGAGCGTGTGGATTACCTAAGACCGGTGCTTAAAAAACATTAGTCTGCCCTAAGTAGAACCTGCATATTCCCCAAATGCCCATGGATATGGGTGACAAATAGGATAACCTGCTTTGTGTTTATTGTTTTCTCTTACAGTTCTTTATGGTGCCACTGAAAAGGTTTCTGACGGCGTCTGAGTTTGAGACAGTTTTCATCAACATTCCTGTATGTACTTAATTGAAAAATTGTGGGGACTTGTTTTGGCATATACTGCTAGGCCGCAGTGTACAAAGTAGTGCTTGAGAATACAGTTAGGGTGAAGGAAGATGTGAGTGAGGAAACTGGTTTGGGAGTGGGAATTTGTCAGATTTTCTCAAATCAGCTTCCTGGACTCTAGTCTGCTTGCTCTCTTCCCTAACATTCGCGTGAGCATCTGGCAGGAAGTGGGGCCATCTTGTGCCTAGGCCACCCGTTGTGTGAGTGACCATGTAGAAGTGAATTTCTGCATACATGACTTGCAGGCTTTGTATACTTTGCATAATTTGCTCAAATCATTGGGTACTTTCTGCAGGGAAGAGATCTGCCAGTGTTCCTGAATGTGTTCCTGATCTGGGCTCAGCTCACTTCCTGGCTAGGACCAAGCATGGGGAAGAATCTGGATAGCATGAAAGACCTAGATTCTGGCTAGGTCTTCACATCCCTAAGTGGGTTATGCTACAAACCCTCCTGGCTTCACTGTTGAATAGATTAGCTTGGTGACTTGACTGCTCGCTCAGCTTTTTTTCCAGCTTTAGTCCTTCCTGCTTGCTTTTCCACTCACCTCCTACCACTGCTCCTTTCCAAAGAGAATTCAGAAAGTACTCTGCATCAGATGTCTGAGATGAGAAGAAGCTTGCATGAGAAGATTAAGCTCCTCTTGTCTGCGTTCGGCTGCATTATTTTTTGAGGCACAGGGTAGAGAGAGAACCTCCATTCATTCGAAGCTCCAAAGAAAGGGAGAAAGGGGCAGAGCCATCCCAGCCATGCAGCTGTTAATTTCTCCAGCTCTAGGAGGAGAAAGAGACAGAGGTGAAAATGGGTGGTTGGGTAAGTGCTTCGAAGGAACAAGATGGATGGCTGAGTCAGCATTTGATCCACTGATACGTATATTCTGAAGCAAGTTTTTAGTGCAATTAAAGAATGTGCTGGAAGTCCTCAGGTTGATGTATTGACTGTATTCACTAGAGGAGGTATTGATTGATGCATTGATTGATGTATTGATGTATTCACTAGAGGACTGATTAATGCATTGTCTTAGTTCTGTGCTTTCCAGCCCAGGATGACTCCCAAAGTATTTATAAATGGAAGGGTGAAGCTTTGACGGTTTGAGGCTCCTCCCAACCCCTAGATAGTATTCTGCAGAGCTAGTCATCTCTGCTTGTGGAGATGAACCGTTCCGGGTGCTTCCACGCTGGGTGCTCCTTGCTTTTCCATTCGGAAGCCACCGTGCAGCAGATTCATCTTGTTTTCTTTGGTTAGAAGCAACATGGAAGAATGTAGGAGAGTGATTAATGGAGGATGATGCAGTCAAATTCTGAGAAGGAAACCTGGTGATGGCCGCTAAACAGTGTAGGAACAATTTTTATCTTTTGCAAGTATAGCATGGATTAGCGCCTTGACTGATTTTGAGAGAGCTGTGATGTTATTTGGCCCTTGAAGAGCTGAAAGGCAAAACTTACAAAGATGGTGTAAAAACAGATCTAGCTTCTACCATGGAGTATCCTCAATGGCTGGTTAAGGTGCCATTTTGCTCCTATTGGTAGCTCTGTTGTTGCAAACTTTTTCCCTTCCTAATGCATTTATGCCTAGGAACCAAGAAGTCAAAGATCAGAACAGTAGATACAAGTATGTGTTATCTGAAAGCTAGAGTAGCTAATCGAAAGCTTAGTTCTGGTTCCTTCTGTTTCCAAGGTAAGAGAAAGATTTATCCCAAAGATATCCCATGAGGGTGTCCGGGCATCTATAAACATGGTGAGAACCCAGTGTTGCCGGACTACTGACACCATCAGCTGCCTGATGGGAACAATGGGATGTTCTTGGGAACTATGCATGCAAGAAGGTGAATAGGTTTGGAGAAATGGTGGCACTGGGAGTGCACAACTGGCGCCAGGACAATCCAAGGAAACTCTTTAGTACAGTTAAAGCTGTGCAGCTGTGTTTATAGACCTTGAGTGAGGTGGCAGCTATGGTATCTTCCGAAGAATGTCTCTGGCCTTAAGAGCGCTTGGGCTTCTTCCAAAGTGATGGTTCCTACCAGTGCTTTTTTTGTCATAGAATGCTCCGGAACAGAGTTCCAGCACCCTTTTTTGACAGATTTTCCAAGTTTTAAAAGTAACTTTTGAAAAGTTGATGTTTGGTCCATGTGGATTTGAATCGCCCTGTCGAGCGTAGCAGGTCAGCGGCAAAATCATTAAAATGGTGCATGCAGGCTGCTTGTGTGTTGAATCCGATGCATGCGTACTTCGTCCGTGCTGGTTGTGATGGCGCTGCTCAACTTGTGATTAGTTGTGTGGTCAAGCGTTGAGTGCTTACTGCAGGCGCCGACTGTTATGTTTCATTACACAACTGGCGTGTGTGGATGTGTGTACAGTGATCGACTACGTGTGAAAGGTAAATAATTTCATGAGTTCCGGCACCTTTTTTTTTTTTTTTTTACAAAAAAAGCACTGGTTCCTACCATTAACCCTCAAAAGGCACTGAGCACCTTTTCTCCTTATCCTTTAACCCCTTTTTTCTGTGGAAGGAACTCTGGCGACAACCCAGGAGGGCTTCAAAGGGTAAATGTCATCATTTGGGTTCCTGCCCCATCTCAAAATAAAGTTTCATGAATGAGGCAAATCAACTTCACAATAAAGGCCTTATTGGGAAGCGCCCTTGATCATAATTCTTGAAGGGGATATTGCCTGAGCCGTCTTGCACCAACTTGCTCTTGCTTTATGGCAACCCCACAGAGGTTTGTGAATATGTATTTCTGGCACCTGAAAAAGTGTAATATACACATTGCAAGCAGTAATGTTTATTGCTTTCCCACTCTGCTTGTCTCAGCACCTTCTGTTTCTTGAGGAGCACATTAAGATTGCCGTTAACTTGCCAGTAGGATGCTATTAAGCTATCCAGTGCAATGTTGCAAAATGCAATTTGTCAGTCCTGGGATGTGTATCATTAATAATCTTTTTATTTCTGAGGCCTGGAGCAGGTGTAATGCTACCTGGCGCTTTAGGGACCACACCTGCCTGGATGATCACATCCTGGCTCCTGTTGCCCATACCCAGATCTTTCAATGTGAAACCAAAGACATTCTTTAGTCCTGTTTTTAAAACCTGGCATTAATGAGAAATTGAGTTGAAGTGTTCATTTTAAATGGGGTGAATAATGTTCATTTGCAAGATTGGATCTGGGAATTAAACCATAGGGGAGGGGTATGGAGATAAGATCCCCGGGCCTGTATCCTTAATCCCAGGTGTGTAATGTAAGCACCAGACCCAGCATTTTTTCTTGACTTGGGATATTTTAATTTTAGCTTAACACAGTGGCAAGCTTACTATGCCTGTTTTAATACAACAAAGTACTTACACTTAAGAAAAACATGTTTATTGAACAGATATTGATATAATTACCTATATTCAGGGAATGTTACTGTGCCAGATCAAGAGATTTACGAATTAAATCAAAAGATTTAATGCAATTAGAAATGCCCATATTATGCACTGAATCTTTTAAAATTATAAAATCAGAAGCTGGAATCTACTTACAAATCCTTGCTTCTATTTCAGGGCTGGCAATGTCTTTGGCTTAGTAATGATTTCTATAGTGAATGATGCTGGCAAGTGATATTACTGTATGACTAAGGGTGTAATCCTGGCCTCTTTACTTGGGAGTCAATCCTGTATAAGCTTACCTGGGAGTAACTCAGTGGGGCTTTCAGGAACATGGATATACAATGAAGCTGTTAATTGTTTGAAGATCATCGCTTTAGATGGCAATATCAACTCTAACTGTGCAAGTTTTATGTGCTGTATTTTGTTTCAGGATTTGGTGAAAATTCACAGGAGTTTAACCCAGGATATCCATGATTCCATTGTAAACAAAAATGATCAGAACCTGTACCAAATTTTTATTAGCTACAAGGAGAGGTAATAGCCAATTTCTGTGTTTCAAGTGCACACTGCCAATAACTTGAGTGTGAGTTGTTAATATTCTTTTAGCCATTAGAACTACTCTCTTTTATGTCATGTGCTTTTAGAGAAACGGTATTGAATTCTGATTATGGACAAAGAACAGCATGTGTAGCATTCACATACAGCTGGCGAAGTGCTTTCTACTGAAAGCCAAATTGAATTTCAGAGAATCCTGCAGAATATGCTGCCTTCATCCTTCTTCCTTCTGCCCTACTTCGTGACTTTTTCCTTTTAACAGCTGACAGTCCTATTTTGCATAAACCTTATCACCACGTGCTACTTACTTGCTTACAAGATTTTTATACTGCTCCATAGTTCCCTGTGGAGTTTATTTATTTATTTATTTATTTAGGAGACTTCTGTGCTGCCCCATTCACCGAAGCCTCGGGGCGGCTCACAACATAAATAACTTCAATTAAAATAATATAAATTAACAGTATAAAATAAGTCACCCTGGCCAAAGAATAAAATAAATAAATACTATTAACAGTTAAAATGACGTTTGAATAAAAAGGTCTTTGCCTGGCGCCGAAAAACAAATAACGATGGCACCAGTCGGACCTCTCTGGGGAGCGCATTCCATAGATTATAGAGCAACGAACAATAAAAAATACATTTATTCTCCCCAAAAACAAACAACACCCCGCAAAACAAAACAAAAAAAATCAATAGACCCATTATTGGTTAAAGACTGCCCCCAAACCTGCACACAAAAAGAGCAAGTTTGGGCAAAGGTTAGAATAGCCAGGGAGCTGTATGGAGACAGGAATACACTGATGGATTTGCAGTTACGTAATTCCCGCTCACCTGCATCCTGAAAAGCTACAATACACAGGAAGGTTGTACCACCTCATTTTTTTCTGTATAACTCAGTTCTCGCTTGTGTGCCCTTACTACTAGATCTAGGTCTATGGTGAGACCGAGAATGCAAGACTGCAAAATCTTGGGAAATTATCTGTGTGACTAATATTAAAAAAATGTAACAAGAAAGAAGATGCACTTGCACAAGATAGTTTTAAATTACTGTGTTCTTTTTTCTATGCTTTAGGAAAATCAAGCCATGTCTGTCTGTCCGACATGGCTTTTAGTGTTGGTTTGATTTTAAATGCACATATTATTTAAATGCTGGCACACTGCAGATGTAACAAGCTGGTAATGTGTATGGTAGGCAAATTGTTATAGTAAAATGAAAAGGTCCAATACAAGTAATTTGGTGCTAATTCTGTGCTACTATGGGTAGTTTTACCATATCCTTTGAAATTTGTCAACATGCTTTTGCAGTCTGTAACAAAAGTAAATACTATTAAGATGTACTTTTTGTTTCTTAAAAGGGTTTGCAGCTGTATTTTCAGAGTATTTTTTAAAAGTTGGTAGTAAATCACAGCTTTTGAGTTGATGGAGATGTATAGCTATAATTTGACTTCAATCAATACCTGCAAAGTCTGCCCTGCAAGGTGGTAGTATAAGGACGATGGAATGCAACAGGGTTTGGGCATTCAGAGTTTCGGTACAAGACAGTATCTAAAAAAAAGGCCAGGCCTTGTGGAAACTGCAGTTGGTGGGGTGTGATAAAAAGGTTTAAAATGTTGGCTATTTTAAATAAACTGGGAATCACATTGCTCTTTCCTCTTGTCTTTATCTAGGCTGGTTATTTATGGGCTGTACTGCAGTCAGGTAGAGACTGCCATATCATCTTTAGATAATATCTCCAAGACAAAAGAAGATGTGAAGTTGAAACTGGAGGTATCCGTGCAATACTTAAAACTTGATTTAATTTCAAGTTATGAAACCCTTATTCCAATTTGTGTCTGATAGTTTTTTCTACAATTTAAACTGGGAATTAAATGGCCTAAGTTTGTATATTATGCAGAATGGAGTGGCTGAATCCCAGGGTGATAGAATGGACATGCAGGATGCTCTACTGAAAATAGTCCCACATAAAAACAAATCAAAACACTGTCCCTTTCCTTTGTGTAATAAAAAGCAGGTCAAGGAGAAAGGCTGACAGTTCTTACTGTCATAAAATCCCCACTTGCAGGGGAATTTTAATACAAGGGAATGTTGGGAACCCCCCCACATTCCTTGCTAGCAGTCTGAAGGGGTTCAGTTCATTCTGCCAGATCTGAATTTGACAACTGGATTATTACATCAGTCTGAAAACATGTAGATATTATGTGAGCATCTTTGGACAGCCTAGGGCCAATTCTTCCCCAGCACCCAGTGCATGTCAACTCCCTGTGATGCTTCCCCTACACTGCGAAAGGAAACATTAAAAAAGGTAGGGGGATGCAGTACAGTTATTTCATTCTGAAGATCCACTTACATTCAGAGTTTGCTGCTGAGTTTTGGCAGCTGGCCATGACATTTTTTCTTGACATAGTGTGGGTAGGGCAAGAGGGCTTCAGTGGGCCAAGTGTCAGATCCTGCCCATCCTTGGTGCAGACCAAGACTGAGTTTGCTAGCTGTTTGTATACCTGACTTATTCCTTTATGACAATCAGGTGCAACGCTCTTCATATTTAGACAGAAATAAGTCCTACAACTGCCAGCTTTCTGCGCCAGCATGATTGACTGGAAAACTGGGCATTGTGGGACTTCTTCCTGTCTAAATATGCATAAGTTTGCACCTTTAAAGATGTTGCTTTTCATGTTGATTATATCAAAGTTGTAGTGAGGCCTTTCTTATTCCTGTTTAATTAGGAGTGTTCCAAAAGAGCTAATAATGGGAAGTTTACTCTGCGGGATCTTCTTGTGGTTCCAATGCAGCGAGTCTTGAAATACCATCTCTTGCTTCAGGTACCTCAGTTTTAAAGTTTATAACAATAGAGATCATACTTCGGGAGGGATGCTGTGATTCTCGCTAGCAAGCACAACCGTTGACGGATAGTTCGCTGTGCGCATTGCTGTTGTGTTGTTCACCTACCGCATTTAAAATTCTTTCCCAGTTTTAAACTGCTTTCTCTGTTTGGTTCCCTTTCCCATTTGGCTTCACAGCTATACATTCAGCTTCTCTGGTTGCATGCAAGTGTCTTACTTCTACTACAGTTCTGATATTTATCACCATTTTTACTCTGACAAGAAATTAAAATGGTCCTCCGTAGCCCACCTCCACCTCCTCATTTTATCTTTGTAGAAACCCTGTGAGATAGGTTAGGTTGACAGTCACGGACCGGCTCAAAGTCACCCTTTGAGCTTCATGGCCAAGTGGGAGCTAGAATCCCAGCCTCCTGAGTTCCACTCCAACATGCCAACTGTTTGGCCACACCTGCTGTCAAGCCACCCAACTTGTCTGTTTCTCTGGGTCAATGCCAGCACCTTCACCTGGCAGTCTAGACACAGTATAATTTAGTATGATGCACTGAGCAAGTCATCATGAGCTTTTCTGCCCACGCTCCACGTCAATGGCATGCATCTGTGCTATAGAATAACTCAGGATATGCTGGCAGTGACTCACAATGGTTCTTACTCGTACACCTTGATACATATGCCACACCTTGCAGGGACCTTGATACCTGTGATGAATATCTACATGAGCTCTGAGCAATTGGAGGAGGGGAGTCTCACTTAAGAAAGCACCAAGAGTAAGCTGCATTACTTAGCCCAGGAAAGGTTGGCTTCTAGAAAGGTTTCCCATTGAACCCCAACCTGGATGGACAATAGGTCAATTGATTTCACCATACCTGAATATTTTCTTTTTTAAATATATTTAGCACATTTGTATATTACCTTTCTGAAGAAAGTAAATTTACAGTTTCTAGATACTGAAACAGAGAAAGCAATGTTACCTCTCTCCCCAACCTGGACACACATCAGTATCTAGTTCTGTCAGGCAAGTTGAAGGTCTGTTCAGGAGAAGAGAAGAGCTGGTGAAGTAGATGGCACGACCTCTTTGCCCCGGGACTCTCCTCTGCCTTCTCTGAGTAGCTCCAGGAAGCATCTTCCCAGGAGTAGGGATGGCCTCCTGAACTGCCTTCTCAGGCCTTTGTTGGTCCTTTCAGGGTTGCAATACACCTAGAGAAGTTCAGCTTTTGAGTGGTATAGAAATGAGATCAATAAATAAATATTCATGTATTAGTACCAAGCCAAGACAGGATGATGCTTTGAATGCATGCCTCATCTATATATAAAGCCAATGCTAGGCAAGAAGCAACCACTTTTTAGGCTATTTCTTTTCCGTGCTGGATTATAATAAAGCCATATTTATTTTGAATGCTTCCCATTATAACCCACAGAGCTTGTGGCTTCTGTGCAGTTAGTCCTATAATGAGGCTCGAGAATCTTATAAATATCATTTGATAGCTGTGCTGGGAGACTCATTAGTTCAGTTGCAAAGAAATATATTACTCCATTAGACTGTCAGCATTGCTGATGCTTATAAAATGTCATTTTAAAAAGAGCATCTACCTGGGCAAGAAGCTGTATTTTGCCTCTGCAGTGCTTCGTTCTGTTTGGTATATCATGTTCCCTGAAAAGCACTTGAACACACCAAGGCTGCTGTTCCCAGTATTAAGATTTCAGTGCAGTTCTGTGGAGAGAATCGGAAATAAATCTTACCCTCTGTAAAACTTTTGTTTTAAAATGCTGTTTTTAAAAATTAAAATACACTTTCATGTTCCTTCTTTTCTGAAGAGCAAAATCAGAGGGGGCTTTTACTGGGCCTGTTTCTGTGCTGGGAGAGAGTGCTGCATTTGTGACATGTGTTTATGTACAAATATACACACTAAAGAGAGAGAAGTCCAGGCACAGCACTGTCCTTGCAAGCAACATCAGTGTCTGGAAAGCAACAGCATATCCTTAAAACTGCCCCATCACTCCTATTTGCTGGCCATCTGTAAAACCTCAGGTGCTAAGTCTTCTATGTTGAGTATATTCCAAAATGTTTCATTTAGCACTCTTTTTCCACCACCTTTAAGTGACTGTGGCAGTGGTTGTTCTCACCATTCATTAAAGTCTGTTCAGGGTACATCTTTAGACAGAAAACTATGCGCAAAACTCAAGAGAAAGTCATTTTGCAGCTCCCAGTACCTAACTGAAAGGATTGATTCAGTTGAACACAGGATGCTATATATATATAGAAACATAGAAACAGAGCGAGTCAGAAGGGGTCTCCTGGGCCATCTAGTCTGACCCCCGGCTCCAGCCGGCTCTGCTCACAACATGCGCACCATGTGCATGTCCAAAAATTTAGAAAATAAATTTAATGGTTTTCAGTAGGACTTGCGACCAAACAAGCATGACTAAAACTGCAACCTAAATTGGCTGGATGTGGGTCCTGTTAAAATCAGTGAGACACATTAGTTATGGGAACAGAATTCAGCTAATTTAGGTCTAGATCCAGTGTGATATAGTAGTTCATGTTTTGGACTCAAGAGATCTGGGCTCTAGTCCCAACTTGGCCATGAAGCTTATTCAGTGACGATGGGCCAGTCACTGACTCAGAATAACCAACCTCATAGGGTTGTTATAGGGATAATGTAAGCTACTTTGGGTTCCTTGCAAAAGTGTTCTTTAAATTATTGCATGACTCCATTTAAAAGTATTTGTAGTCATTGCTGGCTGAAACTTAAGATAGGGCATTTTAGGGAGAAATGCCAGCCTTAAATTCTGTCCTACTCAGGTCGTGTGCTTTTTTTTGCCAAAAAGTAGTTGAAGTGATGTACAATTGTGGCCCACCTACACTGAGTACAGGGCAGAATTTTTTCATTTATTTATATCCCACCCTTCTCCCATCATGGAACTCACAGTGGCTCTGTGCAGTTCCCAGCTGGTCTCCCCTCCAAGCTTCGTCCAGCCTTAGACTTTCTTAGCTACAACATGGTGGATGTATTGCGTGCCTTGGACACTTTTTTTCATTTTAGTGTCAGGCCTTTTGATTTTTCCAGTATTTTAAATGTTGGCGTTGTTTTTAACACTGATTTTATATATTATTGTGATGCTGAGACACTGTGAAGGGCAGGATACAAAAAGATCTAAATAAATAAATAAATAAATAAATGCACATCACAGAAACAATTCAATCATATTAAATTCAATCATTTTTTTTAAATGAAACTTACCCATGTTCTGAAATGAGAAATTCCATGCAACATTGCAATTTGAAAGTACAGAAGCTGAAACTCTGAGAGCATGAACTAAAAGCTTTAGTTCCAAAATTGATTAGAAGGGTACTTTTTGAGCATTGCAGAGTTTTGGAGCCAATACGTTTGACACAGATATGAATAGCAGAAATGAACTCCTTGTCTTGAATACAACCTGTTAAGCTATAGCACATTTTCTAAGTTTCAGCCAATAACGGGTTTAGACTATGATTTTCTTCCTAAGATAAAATGGTCCTTTAAAAAAATAATAATGGTATACTAAGTAATTTTCAACTGAGTGGGAAAAGTGCATGCTGTCTGGATTGGCAGATTGCCATAAAAAAACCGATTATGTATTCTGTCATACAGGAACTGGTAAAACACACTAATGATGCAACTGAGAAGACAAATCTAAAACTGGCACTCGATGCAATGAAGGTGAGTGGGATTGGCTGAATAAACCTGTCTATCTAAAATTCTAGGGACCTTTTCCTGGAAGAACATATAAAGAAATACATTCCAAACTTGTCCATTTATTTTCTGTCTTGTGCAGTAGTTTGCTCACTTACATGCAAAAGCATATAAACTTTTTTAACCATTCAGTGACAATAGTTTTATTGTTTAATGTGTATCAAAGTATTTCAACAATGCCTTTTGAACTGAAGCAATGCTACAACTTTGTTTCACATCCCATGCACATTAATTGCAGTTTCCTTACTTTCATATTGTTTCCTAATCAAGAGCATGATACAGATCTAAATTACTGATGTGCATGGTATGCTTTGGCTGTGCAAATTGGATCTAAGACTGTAATTCCACTGATGGAAGCAGTTCTGTCTGTGGAACCAGGAGGGAGTGATTTCCCTTTTCCTGATCCACAGGAGACCCAGATCCTCCTCTGGAGCGCTGAGAAATCCTTTAAAACCCGCTTTGAGGGACCATTGAGGGCTACAGAGGAGAAGACGAGGGAGTCCTACTGCATTAGCAGACTCCTGCTATCATGATGGTGGCTCCAACCCTGATTGTCTAGGCTTTTTCTCAGCTTTGTGGCATGTGCTGACTGAATGCATGGAGGAAGAGCAGGAATGCATTTGCGGGCTTCACCCACAGCCTCAGTGAATGAGCTAGCTCTTCCCTGATCTCTGGTTTGAGAATGGGCTCCGCCAATGCACACACACGATCAGTAACCCTGATTGTAGCAAGAGTCCACATGTTCACTAAATGGCCAATATAAAGGTGAGGACATGCCTTCTTCGTGTATTCTGCCCCCACTTTATTTTTGTGCAAATCATATTTACATATATATGCATATGCATATATACATTTTTAAACTGTGTGAGAGTTCCTTAGGTCTAACAAAAGTTATACAATTTTCTTCTAGGGACCAGAAGATCATGGGTTTTGATGGTTCCCTTTATAGAAGGTTCTCTAAAAGAAACATAGTTTTGAGAAAGATTTTCTATTCTAGGATGATTGTGTTGCTACAAGAAACTCCTTTTTTTAAAAAAAGAAAAACTTTAATATTTAATATTTAGTTTTCAGATTTTTAGACAGTTTATGGGCTATTGCTGTTCATGCTAGAGCCCTTGGTTCTGAACTCTCTTTAGTTTTCAACCATTTTAAGCATGCCATGATGCTCCTAATGGGTCCACGCACACATCTGCATCAAAAGTTGAACATATTCTCTCCTCTTCTTCGCAAGGTGTGAGCAGACAACTTGCAGAAGAGAGTCAAAACAACAGCAGGAATGCAAAGAAACCTTGATTAGTCTAATGCATGTTTCTTTAGTGTGGAAATAATGGTGTATGTGTGTGGGACTATTAGTCTGTACATGCCATATCAGCCTGTTCATGCTAGTATTTTAACACGTAACCACTTCCACTGCAGTGTGGGGAATGACTCCCAATTTTCAGACTTCCTAACTAAATTTAGCTTTTGGGTTGTTGTCACTTAAATTTCCTTCTCCTTTTTGTGGTTTAGGACTTGGCACAGTATGTAAATGAAGTGAAACGGGATAATGAAACGCTCCGTGAAATTAAACAATTTCAGTCATCAATAGATAATTTGGTACGTCATTTTAACTTTTTGACCCCTGTGTGTGGTGTTGCCAAGCCTTGTCTTGGCTGTCTTGCTTCTTCTTCCTTCTTAGTAGCTTGAGTTTGGGCAAAGCTAAGGTCTGCTTTCCATGGGCCTAGTGATAGCCCTGGATCTGTAAGTGCTGTAGCACCTGCAGAACTCAAAGCGATCCACCAGTAGCTGGCCGGTAGGAAGGTTAGTGGAAGAACAGGGAGCCTAAGAACAGGGAGATCTATGAACTGCTTAGATCAATGCCAGATGTATATGGGCAAGAAGTTGACTGTGCCCAGGTTTGACTTGGGAGTATTTATTATAGTTTGGTCAAGTCAGCAGGTGCCAGTGAACTGCTTGTCTGTTTGCAGGGTGATAGTAAAAATAAGCTTTTTCCTGCTTTAGTTCACCGCAAATGGTCACCAAACCAGGAAATTCCCTGCTTAAATCTTGGTTGATGTTGACACATGGACTACTTTGCTTGCTTTTAAGCATCATAATATTGGAGTGTAAATACATGTTTGGATTAGTTCTATGGGCTAAATTTCATTTTACATAGCAGTTCTGTTTGGCTGCGAGGCACGAATTACCCCATGGAACTTTACAAAAACACGTTCTGTTATTCAAAGGCTTTAGATTCTTGGGAAGGTTAGATCCCACAGTGCCTGATAGTCTGGTCTTCATGAACTTTCATGGAAGTTGGAGAAGGAAGTAATATAAAGACAGGGTCCACAGTGCATGCTTCAGCTGTGTTCTGAACCCAGATCTGCGGCAGCACGGACTGGCAGTCGTAACACTGCGGCATTCTTGATTCTCTCCACACCCTGGGTTCTCCGTCATTCCTCTTCCTGTTGTGGTGTCATCCTTCTCTAGATGGAGAAAACGTATGCGCCTGATTTAGGTTTTCACTGGTGGAGACACGTGAAGCGCTGTCGAGGATGAGGAGATAGCAGTGCTCGTCTATGAAGCACTGCGCACAAAGTGCATTTCTGGTGGGCTTGTATGCTTCTCAGACAGTCCCTTTCTGAAGGGAGGCTTCAAAGACGATGCAGATGTTGCGAGTCCTTTATTTATTTATTTACATTTATTTATTTATTTATTACAACATTTCTATGCCGCCCCTTGCCGTAGCCTCGGGGCGGCTCACAACATAATAAAATACACAATAAATGAAAACAATAACAATTAAAATATATACATTGGAATAAAATAAGCCGCCCTGGCCAAATAAAATTCAATGATATTAACATTTAAAATGCCACTTAAATAAAAAGGTCTTCGCCTGGCGCCGAAAAACAAATAACGATGGCGCCAGGCGGACCTCTCTGGGGAGCGCATTCCATAACTTAGGCGCCACCGCTGAGAAAGCCCTCCTCCGAGTAGCCACCCTCCTAATTTCCTTCACTGAGGGCTCCCGGAGGAGGGCCTCTCCCGCCGATCTCAGGGGGCAACTGGGCATATATGGACGTAAGCGCTCCTTCAGGTAACCTGCCTTTTTAGTTGACACCTGCCTTCAGCCTTGCAGTTCAGTTTTTGCAAATCATTAAATGCACCTGTTTCCTCAACCTCATTGGTATTGCATGCAATTCCTATAATTTCAGAACCAGTCACTTTTACTGTATGGGAGACCACAGGGCGATGGTGAAATAAAAATAACAACTTTGGACAGACGGACAAGGCAAGATAGGTGAGCAAACATGTATGCCTTTTTAACACATTAGGATATGCAATTCATACTGGATATCAATATTCTTTGCAAATTTGCAAATTTGACATAAGCCTTGGATTGTGGTATTTAATTGCAGCATTTCATGTTTGACCATATCTGCCACTTTATAAAGTTTGTATGACAGTCTATCAACAGATATTCACTGGCCTATAGAATCATGGGCCTCTCTCCTGAATAAGAAATACACCATTAAACTTTCCTTTGGATGGAGACAAAACAATTAGTGGCTTCGAACAGAAACACTGAATCGATGAAAGCGAAAGATCTATTTAAAACAGAAGTTTCTTTAAAAGACCAAAACGTTCTTCACCTGGTGCTGAAAAGACCATAAATAGTGCCAGGTGACCTTTGCTTTGGAGGCTGTTCCATAGCTACTCCTGAGTGCCAGTACTGGATTCCAAAGCATCAACACACTGAGAACTTGATGTTTTACAGTGCAAGTCCTTTCTGAATTGCTTGAATACAATTCACCAATGTGGACAAACCATCCACACCAGTACCTCTATTTTATGCGGATTGTATTTATTTTGTCATCCATATCCAGGCTATTACTGTGTTCAAGTCCTGATTGAGGGCTTCCATCATTTCATACACATCCTCTGGAAAAGAGAGTGAGTGAGTGGTGTCATGTAGATACTAAACTTCATGGAGGAATCATACAGGATCCCAGAGTGCAACTGTCCAGCAGGAGTTCCAACTTCTGAAATGGGTCCTCCAAGTAGGAGTGCAATCCTGTGCTTCTCACAGGGTTACACTGCCCCCGTATCTGTCCCAGCAAATGTCATCCCACAGTGTGATAAAGGCAATCGCTGATCCTAAACTGGGCCTGAAGCCTAATTAAAATGGATCTAGATAATCCATTTTATTCAAGAACAACTGCAGTTGGCCAGCTACCACATTCACAAGGGCTTCGTCCAGGAAGGCAATATTAGCCACTGGTGTATAACAGTTGACATCTACTTAGACCCAGGCTAGATTTCTTCAGGATTGGTCAGACAGATTGCAGCTGTGTCCACTCCCCTCTCGCTAGAGTTCCACCTGCTAGACTAGTGAGATGCTTTAATACTGAACTGTATTTTAATAGTTGGCATGCAGTCTTGTTAGTGTTTCACAATTGATGTGCAGTGGTATTTGATATTTTGCAATTGCTGTGCAACACTGTCGTATGATACCTGTGTGACTACATATATAAGACTGCAGTCTTCAAAAATAAGTCCCCGCTGAGTGCAGTGGACTTAAACTTCAGTAATCTTACATAGAATTGTACTGAAATTGAAATTCGCAACTCAAATTTGAAATTGTGCAGCACCATTCCAAATTCAAGATCTGACCTGAAAGTTTAACTTTCTTGGAAATTCAGTTTAATTCAGATATGCTGTATAATATGGGTATGTTTTCCATTTTCACAGGCACATCTTCCTGTTTGACTTGGCTGTAATTGTATGCAAACGGCGAGGTGATAATTATGAAATGAAGGATATAATTGATCTTCAGGAATACAAAATAAGCAATAACCCTACCACAGACAAAGAGAATAAAAAGGTAAATACAGAAGGCAGCTTTACCCGCAAGACATTCCACTTCGATAACATTGCTATTCATGGCTCTTCATTGTATTTAAGGAAATTCCAAGCTCTCCTCTTCATATTTATTTATATGCGACCCCCCCATGTAGTAAATTAGCACATCTGGGAAAATATTTAGCCCCTTGGTGTGCTCCTTCGCTTTTGACAAGGAAGTTTATGTGGGGGAGAATATAAAAAGGATCCAATCTGCGTAATGTTTACAGTGGCACTGAAATGATACAAAGCTCTCTGAACACTCTAAAGCACTATGTCATTTTTCTTCCTCTCCTCCATTATCATCTTCATCACTGGTGAACAATGTGTGGTGTGCAAATCCTTTGCAGTCCTGCTGTATGTGAATTCTTCATAAGTAACTTTTGCATTGCCTTATCATTTAAACAGTGGTCTTATGGCTTCTACCTCATCCACATACAAGGACACAACGGGTTAGAACTGTACTGCAAAACGAAAGATTTGAAGAAAAAATGGCTCGAGCAGTTTGAAATGGCACTGTGAGTAGTTCTGTATTGCACAGGGAATTTTTCATGAATGACCAAGAGGAATAAAATGTTTACTAATCCGTTAGAGATTGCATTTTGCTCATTAAAGCAGCTCCTTGAATATGCAAAGTCATTTCTGAAATGCATTCCTAAGAAGCCTGTAGGGCAAAAATAAAATTTTTCCAAGGAAAGGTAGAGGGAGCTCTAAGCCATGTTTTCATGCCTTACTTTCTGCTGAAGATTGTGTCTTCATGCTCCAGTATCTGGGGAAAATATTAATGGGTTTAGCAATAAATATTTAACATAATTGTGGCTGATTTTGCTATCACTGCCCTGGTAAACTAAAATGTATTACTAAGGGAGATGGGGTTGCTGGCTTTTTTCCTAGTGGCTTCTAACTAATTTATTATGTGGTATTTGTATCAGGTTGCATGGTTTATTAAATTTGACCTCAAGGATTTGATTGCTCTCTCTTTTTAACACAACAGCACAAAGAGTCTATGTATTACAGAATACTCTCAAAGACAATGCAAAACAATTGTTATGCCTTCTGGAACAAGGCTATTGTGTGACTTTGTTTTGTTAACTAAAAAGTAATTAACATATAACAACAGAATTCTTGGGCTATTTCTTTGATTTCTGTTGGACTCAATGAAGTAATGGAGAGCCGGTGTGGTGTGATGTTTGGTGTTGAACTGGGGACCTAGGAGATCCAGGTGCTATGCAAAAAACATGGTCATCTTTCTGCTAATCTTTTCAGAGTTTTCACAAAGCATTTTCCAAATTTGAAGGACTTAACGCAGTTGGAGGGAAATGGCTTATAGATTAATGCAACCTTCTCAGATTTCATTCCTTTAGACTACAGTTACTATCATATGTCACCATAAGCCACTTGCTGGCTGGGATGCTGAGAGTACATCTAGTGAGAGCCAATGTGGTGTGGTGATTAACGCTGGACCAGGGACCTGGGGCTTCTGAGTTCTAATCCTCTCATAGCCGTGATTCTTTCTGAGTAACTTGGGGCCAGCTGCTCACTCTCAGCCTAACCTACCTCACAGGGTCATCATCCGGATAAAATGGAGCTTTGTCATCTCTTTGGGTTCTGAACAAGAGGAAAAGCGGCAGGATATAAATGCAATATAATCATAATAATACACAAAACATGGTTTAATGTGTTCAAATAACTATGGATAGGAGCTGATGTCGGAAATTTCACTGACTGCATATTCTCACTCTCTTGTGTCAACAAATAGAAGAGTTATCCAGGACAAATGTTTCCTATATAAGAAACTTTAGCTTTATCTAGATAATTAGAACTAAACTTGCAAATATCAAGAAGTTATTGCTAGAGATTCTTTTGTACATATCTGGATATAAGCCATTAGTTGGGCTCATCTGTGCAGCAAATAGATTAAGAGGCAATTGCTGTGTTTACTGCTTGCTGGCTGCAAGCCAGTTTCTCAGTTGCAGAAAGAAATGACCTCAAGGTCATGATAGGTGTGGGGCCTCTGTCCCCCTATGCCTGCCTGCCTCAGGCCCTCAGCTCAGCTTCAGAGGCCCAGCTCTGTTCCCTGACCATCTGAGGTCTGATAGGTGGGCACCAGAGATGGGTCATTTCCAGTCATGCAGTTTATTTGGTGAGGAGACCAGCAAGAGTGGTCTTTATAGGCATCATTTGTTCATGTCATCATTAGTTTTCGTCCAAGGAACTCAAGGTGCTGTACATTGTATCTACCTTGCAGATTATGTTGAGAGATGATCACAGGGTCACCCCATGAACACTATGGCTGATTAGAGATTTGGACCCAGATGTCTCCAGTCCTAACCAAAACATTATATCCCACTGACTCTGTTCATGATGACCAGTGAAGATATGACTATATTTAAGGATACATTTGGGTTATATGTTACGTCATTTGGAGTACTAACAACATTTAATTATAAGTAGCATTTATTTATTGTTTTTTTCCAATGCATTTCATTGCAACCCTTGTAACAACTATCTGTGTTGGTCAGTCCTACTATTCATAGAAACATAGAAACAGAGCAAGTCAGAAGGGGTCTCCCGGGCCATCTAGTCTGACCTGCGGCACCAGCCGGCTCCGCTCACAACATGCCCACCATGTGCATGTCCAGCCTATCCTTGAACACCCTCACCAATGGGCTCTCAACGACCTCTCGTGGAAGCCCATTCCACACCCTCGGGGTCCCGACTGTCAGGAAGTGCTTCCTGGCATCCAAATGGAACCTTGGCTCTCTGAGCTTTGCTCCGTTGGAGCACATCCTGTTCCTGTTGCAGGTGGACAGAGTGGTCAGCCTGAAGCAAATCTTATTAAAAAAAGTGAGATTTGAATTATGGCCTTCCTAATATGTTCTTCAGGCTCTTTGCCCCTGCTCTGCTTTTTGTTTGTTCTATGTTATTTCTGATTGCATAAGCGCTCCCCCCTGCCCACAGTTAGCAGTTTATTATGTGTTCTAAAAAAAGATAGTGAGAACTTGATTATTTCTACTAGGAGCTTTAATATATCACGCAGCTCAAATGACCCAGTGAGCAGGTTGCATCTCAAGTGAAGCAACAGTTGATGTGCTGAGTGATTTACTTAGCTTCTGCTGCTGTTTTGATGAAGACATTAGTGCTTTTAATGCCTTCTAGTTGTCTGCTTTCCTGAATGTATGCTGTCAGCTATTCAAGCCGTACAGGCTTGTAAAAGCGTTGGACGTCAGCCAACAAGGAACACTACTCATATCCGCCCTTTAGTAAAGGTGATTTGCTGTTGGTGATTATCCTAACTGAATACAACCGAGGGAGTTGGTGGCTCAGGAGTTCAATGGGCTTGACGTCTGTGTGGGTTCAGTTTTGGCTTGCGTTCAGGACTGCAAATTAGATTAGTGGTCTTGGCCAAGGCATTGCTAATGGGTGTCTTCTCCAGACCTAAACCACCTAATGACTCTTCTTTTTGATTGGCAGCCTGCAGTTGACATGGCTGCTCTAGGCCTCAGTTGATTTAGCAGTTTGGGTTGTTAGAGTATTTAATAAGGGTCGTTTTGTAAGTTACATGGCAGCCAATCTAGACTTTCCATGAAATGAATGTTTGACAAGGACCTGCAGCCAGCTGACACTCCCTGTTATGTATGCATTGGTTGAATTTACACTTTTCAGCCTTGTACACTTAAAAACGAGATGTCCGTGTTTCAAAATCTGGAAGCTGCTAACACTGAGCAGGCAGAAATGAGGGATGTTTCGCAAACTTTTCCTTCTCATTCAAACCTCTTCCATATTCCCTTATGGCTTTGCTAAATACCTTCATGCTGTTACCTTACAACTCACCTCCCAGTAAACAAACAGGTTTCTGTCTCATTTGAGGGAACACTTTCAATAAGAGTTTTGTTTTGCTTGTTTTCAAAATGAAATGAAAAATAATTCAGAGCTAGGTGGCTTGAAAGAAACAATGGGAAGAGAGTGATTTCAGAAAATGTTACTTACAGGGGAAAGAGTGAGCTGCTTGTGCTTTTTGTGATTGTATTTCTTTGCATGAGGGATAGGTGAGTTCCACCTCAGCTGCATCTCCCAAAACCCATCTCCTCCTTTTCCCTTTCGCGAACAGTGTGGTGGCTTAGTGGGAGTGTGAAGAGTGGAGGTTTCGCCATTGCTTCTTCCTTCTTGATGATCAGCAGTGTCCTGAGCTGCATAAGTGTAGGGGACCATGGGGGATGTAGTTCTTCTGAGAGCTACTACAGTTTCAGTAGTCCATTGTTTTTCCTCTTGAGTTTTGCGCAACTTACTGGAAAGTTAATTATGCTCCTGTTCTTTGGGAATTCTGTTTCCTTAAGGATTCTCCCAGTTGCACCCCTTTTCCCTGACAGGAGAGGCTCAGGATTTCCATGGAGGGGGGAGATTTTCATCCATTGCAGACTAATCACGGAATGTAATAGGAGCTGTCCGTGGTGCTGAACACCCCCAAAATAAGTTCACCACCACGAATAGGTCCTGTAAAGCTGAAAAGAATAGCCATGCTGCTGTTGTTTACAGATATGTTTTCTTGTTATCCTACAGATTGTAGTTTGGTTTTCTTGTCCTAGCCCTATCCTATTTTTCTACAATGGGAGGAAGCCACCTGAAAATTTAGCATGCCCCCTCATCAGCAAATGCACTGAAAGAGAAAAAGGAAAGAAGAATCCTTTCAACTTAGACTGGGGACAGAAATACGAACAATACGATGGCATGGGAAGTGACCCAGATAGAGAATAAATTCACCAGAAAAAAGCTGCTTGCTCAGGTAGTATGATCTGATAGATAATGGGAGACAACAGGAGTTTGACAAGAGCAAAACATTAACATTAAAGGACTCATTTTTGTATTAGAGATGAGCATTAGGAGCTGGGCAAATTCATCTTCTGTGCCAGGTCCATTACAAGCCTTGGAAATCTTTCTAGTAAGTGTTTTAGTTCTTTTATCTTAGCTAAGAGGATGCAAGAAACAGTGTGGGTAGCATGCAAGGCAAGGAAGGAAATATTGATACTTTACTTTGGTACTTTATATCTTGAACTGTATATCCATGTGTTTGAACATTCATAATTCTCTTTCACTTCCTCTCTTTCTTCTGTGTAGTGAGCAGGTGCTTTTGCTGAGGTGTTCATACTTATGTCTGGATAGCTGTGCTGGAGAGCCCATGGACACTTGACTTGGAACTTATCAGAGTGTCAACACAGCATGGAGTTTATCTCAGAAGTTTTCTCTTTCAGTTCACAATGCAGCCGCTTATGTGCTCACTTAGGCTGAATTTCACCTGTCGTGATGATGACGGGTTCACTAATTTCTTCAGCATCATCTGCTGCTTTCTCATAGTCCTCCCTAATCCTCTGTGTAAAATTTTGCTATCAGCAGAATTTTCCACTCGGCTATTCATGCCTTCTTCCAAGCCATTAAGTGTAAAACCAAACACTTTTATGTAATCACATGCCAAGGCTTCCTTCCAGGATGCACAGAAGAAAATATGATTGCAGTACACATG